CATCAGATGCAGAGGGCTTAATTCACTGGACACATGTCTTTCAAGTCAATGTCTTTCAATGGACTTCTTTTTCTGGTGGTCGCTGGACCAGCAGCATCAGCCTCACTTGGGAGCTTGCTAAATGCAGAAACTCGTCCCACCCCAGATCCAGAGTTTAAACACCATCCCCAGGAGATTCATATGCACATTAAAGATGGTGAAGCACTGACCTAGATCATGTCCCCCAACCCCAACCCACTCCCAGTTATCTGACTTTTCAGAAAAGAGAACAAGGGAAGTTTCAGAAATATCATACTGATCAGGATAATTCACTACATTCCCTGCCAAAGGGGGCATGGCACAGCAGTCCTTCTTTCAAGCCAGAAACAAGCCACAAAACTATTTTGACCTAAAAAAGGTGACAATTTTTCATATAGCCCAACCTAATATATTCAGATCTCAATTCTTCTCCCAAGAGGAAAGGGTAGCATTATTTTTAGTTTACTAATAAAACAATAATAGCTGTATTGTAATCAAATGGCAAGGTTCTATCTCCTGTACATTTTCATAATGTAACAATAAAAATGCATGTTAATATCACCTACCTGACTGTATTAAAAACACTCTAAAAAGTAAACATTTTGATTCCCATTCAGTAGTTCAATAAGGGCTACTACTCACTATATTATCCAGAATTTTTAAACATAAGATGGTAGAAAAATATGGAGTCAGCTACCTTTGATGTTACAGACAACTTGGAGTCACTTTTCCACACCTTAGGACACTGTTAATAAAAAAAGTTAGAAGTAACATCACCACCTAATAACCACCCACCTCTACTCCTTTAACCCTATTGTGTTAACAGACATACACTGAGGTCACATTGGAAGGTCTTTAATTTGTATATAATTCTTCATCAAACAAAAAGTATTATTTCCTTAAGGTCATTGTGAAATCTAAGCACAACATTATAAGCAATGTTTTCACTCATCTTCTCTAAGTCTTTAAATGGATATGGACACTGAACTCTGGAGATGTTCTGTATTCAATTCAGCTGACTATTCAGCAGGATTCCCACAGGAAGACTCCTCAGGATTCAAGGTCTACTCAACATAGATTTCCACCATTTTCTATTATGAATTTCTCTTTTGAAGTAAAAATTTCCATAGACCGCTCCACACTCCTAACAGTAGTTGTAAATTGAATACATAATTGACGTACAAACAGAAGTCATCCCCAGAAAAACAAAGTACAACACTAAAATAGAAAGCAATTCATCCCCAGAAAGATTAGCCAGAAACAATCAACTTTGTGAATTATTCTAGTAAAACAAGGCCGATGAAAAAAATGGCAATGCCTCAAGGAAAAAAAACCTAATTATCTGTAAGGGTAAAAAAATAAGGGTGGTACCAGAGATATCAAGAGCAGAATAATATTTAAAGAATGCCAAGGAAAAAAGGCCAAAGATTTTATGTCCAGTCAAGCTGCCATTCAAGTGGCAAGACTCCAGAAAACAGCTTGGAATGTGCAAGATCCTAGGGATTACTGCACACAGGAGCCTTTCCTGAGTAATATACTAGTGGGTAAGTTTTATACAAGCAGGAGGTAAGTGGGGAAATAAGAGCAAACAAACTGATGACAAATATTTACTATATTTAATTTGAGAATTGATTCTAAAAGGAGGTAACAGCATGGACGGAAGAACAGTATGCATACATTTCACATTCTAACAAAGTAGCAAGAACACAGCAAGATTAAGCAGGAGGAAAAAGGAAGAAAGGGAAAGGATAACAGGAGCAACTTCTATAATGAAGGTAATAGGTGGGAGTCAAAGGATGCCATTTAAAAGGTTAAATAGGATTAAGGGGGATTAAAAGCATTGTAAAGGGTATAAATACAAAGGTAACCACTAGAGCAAAAGCACAAACCTTCCTAAGTTTCATCCTCATAATTATAATAGCTCTTCAGAGACAATTCTCTATAATGTTCTGCACATCTTTCAACAGCCATCAGCCTTTGTGCAGAACTATCTTTTCAAAGATGTTGTGTATAGCAGTCTTGGAAGAGAGACAGAATCTTCCCCTAGGTCAGAAGGCAGTTTTGTTACCTAACTAGGATAATAAAAATAATGTCTTCCTCTTGGGCAAGTTTGGGCAGATTTTCTAACAGCTCCTTAAAGAACTCTTAAATCTGGAGCCCCTCAGCTATGACACAAAACCCCTGGGTATGCAGCATCACCCTATGGGACTTGAGGGTCAAGGGGAACCTATACAACCATGAAGTATATGCTACTTTTTGTGCTGTTAGTAAGAAAATGCTTTCTCTCTGACCCAGGCAATCTTGCGTCTTCTGCCAGCATCTGCGAAAGGCTGGCAGGCATGCAATTGGGGCTAAAATCTCAGACCCTTAATAAAGAAAACACAGCTAAACAGAGAAAGAAACACAGTAAATATAATGATACATTCAGGAACTATAGAGTGATTTCCAGGACATACTGCTAAGTGAACAGTACAAAAAAGTATATACAGTATGCTTTTTATAAGAAAGTGGAAATAGGACTACTTACACATATGCATATACCTATATATATATATATATATATACACATATATTCTTAATTTTACAAGAAGCACAGGAAGGGTAACTCAAGACAGGAGAAAGCAGGTGTGGGTATATGGAGAAAAGAATCATCAATGGATGATGGGCGCCAACCTTCAAATGTTCTGTTTAGAATTTTAAACAGACATAGGCTTTATGGATAGTAGACAAGTTTGTGAGAAGAAAAATAAAATGTCTTGGGGAGAATATTATAAGAAATTTAAACTAAGAATGACATGCTGCACAGTTCCCAGGAAGAGCTGGTAACATAGAAGGAAACGAATGATGGGACAAAGATTGCGACAAATAAATGAAATCAGCCTTTGACAAGGTTCCAGGGAGTCCACCTGTTTTTACTCGGGTTACAGATAACTGTATACCAAGAAGAGCCCATAAACAGTATAAAGACAGTGCAACTGTGTCTGTGTCCTTGTGGCAAGTATAACATAATGCTTATGTCATTTTCCTTAACTGACTTAAATTTATACTGAATATTATTAGTGTACAACACAATATATATGTATATATATTTGATATTATGTATTGATGTATTCACATTATTGTTAATAGTTCAGTCAGTGGGTCAATTTTACAACATCAAGTTATAGTGTCTTTTGAATAACTTAGATAAAATGCATTAAAATCATCTACTTCCACTACCTGTTTTACAAGTCTTGGCTTTCTCATCCCTAAAATGTATATCTTTAAAATATATCTGAGGTATATTACCCAGATAAAAATTGAAATATAACTTAGAGTCAAGAATAGAAAAGAATAATTAGCAAACAATTACTCCTAACTGCAATACAAGTGGTTATACTTCATCAAAGGGTTTTAAATATTTTTAGTTGAAGAATTCTTTCTTCAGATGAAATCTTATTTTAAAATTGAAAGTACATAAAATGACTAAAAGTCTAACTATTCTGGTTTAAGTGGTCCATGGAAGTCTGAGTGCCACCTGCTTTGTGGAGTCTTCCTGGCAGCCCAAGGCAGTTAGAAAAACCACTGCTGCGTAAGATCACGAGTATAAATGCATGAAATAGTCACTGAAAATAAGTTCACACTAATAAGTGTAAAAATATGAAATTTAAACTAAAAAAGAATCTAACTCATTTACTGATGAAAATAAACCAAATAAATATAAAGTCTTTTTACTAAATAATAATTTACAAAACAAGTATAAAAGACAGCTCATTTTGGCACTATGTAAGCTGTCCTTCCTTGTTATAAGGCCCCAAATGATTCTGGTATTGCTACATTAATCTTTTTATTCTGATGCCCATATGTATGTCCTAAATATATAAGCCACTATGAAGTGATAAACAGAAATTTGAGAAATAATTTTTAATAATGAAAATAACAATGTTATTTACTTACATCTAACCTGGACAAATACATGTAGCTGAATTTTTCTAACTAGGTTCTTATATTCTGTTTTTTAATAATTAGTCTGTAATTTTTACGGTCATTTGATCATTTTTTTACAGTCTAGATTTCCTCAGTTTCCTTTAGCCATTGACAGGAAAACCAAAAATCCTTTCCAAACCAAAAACTACTATTAATAAAAATGAAGCTGTCCATTACCACTGTTTGCTATGTGGGAGCAGAACAAAAGCACATTAATAGTTAACAAAACTACAATATGATAAACGAATGGAGTCTCGCATTAAAAAAGTACTTAGATTGTATTTACAAAAGAATCTCTATCATTAATTATGCAACATTTGGATTTGACCAGAAACCAGAGCATGACTTTATAATGCTCTGTTTAAATGAACTACTTAATGTTATAACAAACACTCAGTGTGGTGAACTCCATGAATTTTGGACCAGGTATAATATAACAGCTTTTCCAATTTTTTGATCAGTGGACAGATTTTAATGTTGTACTTTAAAAATGTTTACTTAAATCAAAAATTTTGCATCTCAATTATTTTATATTCTAAAACTGAATGTAGTTTTAACCAAACCAATGCATTATTCATAAAGCAAAGACATCAGGAAAAACAAAGCTGTGCCTGCTTTCAAAGCCGTTAAATTGCTAAAACATACCATATTTATGCATGCAATATTTGATTGTGTTTTTCTTAAAACACAAGCTTGTTTTTGTCAGATCAAGATATGCCAAAAATTCTACACCAAACATTTTTGTTTATAATTAAAGCAATCATCAATCCAAGGATTGTCATCCATTTTATTTCATCTCTACATCAAAAAAAAAAGTAATTTAAAAAAAAATTTAATTCCCTTGAAATGATAAGATAAATGAAAATGTAAGTGCCTTCACATAATAACGGTAAGCTGACCCTTTGGGAAATGGTTGACTTTCTCAATACAAGGTATTCAAAGCTCATTCAAAAGTGTTCATTTAGAATGCAGATATCAAAGATGATGCAAATGTTCAAGAGAAAATTAGAACTTACCAGATGTTCTAATCCAGCTTTGATGTTTCCAGATTCCCTAAAATAGAAGAATAAAAGTTCTAAATAGTTGTTAAGCCCTTGTCTGCTGCAACTTATGTTTACCTCAAAAATATTTTATAAACTCATAATTTTTTCATATATCTTTCTTGATATTCATAGTAACACTGTTTTTAACGATAAAACAAATTCCTTAGGGAACAGATAATTTATTTATACCTAATAATAGTATTACCACTAAAATTGATATTCCACTAACAGAATGTTTCAGATTTTTCAGTCAGTGGAAAGAAATCAAGTATATTATTATCTTATTATTTGCATACTGTCTTCATTTTACATTAGTTTTTTCATTAGATTTTATGTTTTTTTGACATTTATTATGAAAATGTTCAAACATACAGATTGTATCCACCATGTAGAATCTACAATTGCCATTTTAGTATATTTGCTTTATCAAATATCCATCCATTCATGGTTACATTTTTATATAAAGATTATGCACAAAAAGAAAGTTTGTGAGCACAATGGCTAAATAACTAAATCTTAAATTTTTTCCTGCCATTAATTTTATTAACTTAGTGCCCACTACAAATCAGGAACTAAGAATTCTGTAATATTAAAAACCAGAATATCACCACTGGAAACACAAACATAAAATATCATGATATACATTAAGTATTTAAGTTCTTGTTTTTCACTTTAAAAAAGACTGCTGATAAAACTAAAAATACAAGTAACTGTACACGTAGCAAAGATAACTTAAATACACACTTGGCAAAATATGGCAAATACTTCGCTATTTTTGCTGATTTCAGTCAATGAAAATTAGAGACAAATGGACTTTGATTTTTCTCACTCTGACCAAGTAGTATTTTAATTCCATCATAAATGCCACGCCTTATTTGTTTTAACATAAAATTATACTTCTACCACTCTGCAGGAAATAATTATAAAACATCCAACAGCAGTATTTTTGCATTCATCATGTTTAATCTTTTCCCCACACCTTTCTTTCTCTGAAGGGGCCTCAATTTTATTCCTTTTCTCTTTATTTTGTCTCCAATTCTTTTTTTGAGGGGGGGCAAAAATCTACTTACCGCTGTTTCATTTGTCTTGCTATACAATCTTTTCAAATTTCCCTATCTTTTCCCTTTGGATCTACTGCTTGAAAACTATTCTCATGGTTTCCAACCTTTGCTCCCAACTGCCCAGTCTGGTATCTTGGGAATAAATTCCAATGTCTACTGATTAGCACTCATCTTTAGCCATTCTCCTCTGCTTTCTACTTCTGGCAATCTTAGTAATACTATATATTCAACATTTAAAATTTTAAGGATTTCTGAAACTCATTCTCTGGATGCAGTCCTAAATGACAAATGATAGAAATAAATTGCAACAAGGTGTCAGAGAAGGCCAACAGCTACATAAATAATTATTTAAACTGTATTATTATACAATTAATGCATGTATTGGAGCTGGAAGTCAAATGAATCTTTAACGTTTTCACAAGGTCATGCTCATACAGCCATTTGTGCAATTTAAAATTTAAATAAAAAGAATAATACGTCTGACAGTGTAAGATATGTATACGTGTGTGTATACACATTGCAATAAAATTAAATCGTCCTCCCATCACTGACTCCCAGGTCTCAATCACTGATATTAGTTATGTGTTTGTTCTTCTAAAATAGTCTATGCTCTGTATGTATGCTTGTGTGTGTATCTGTGTGTGTTTCTTCTTCTGTTGTTGTTGTTTTTTTTAACCCAGACAGAAGCATACTACACACACTGTTTTCTACCTTCACCTGGCAATCTACCTTGGAGTTTATACCATATAATACACATCTATTTCATTTCTCCCCCATGGCTACATTGTCATGTAATGGTTCTTATTAGAAAATAATGTTGCAATATAAAAGAACAAAAATGCTAAGACTCAAAATACACAAGTCCATAATTTATTATCTGAAACCACCGAGGCTAGACATGCTTCATCAGAATATTTTGGATTTTAAGAAAGGTAGTAAGGTACATATAATGTATGTCATAAAACACTGATAGCAAGGGTTGAAGAAGCATCTCATAATCATACATATTAATAATTCAGAAAGAAACATGAATGTCCACCTAAAGTGGGATAAACAAAGACTACAAATAGACTCATTTCAGGATAGGTTTTGCTATTAACTGACTTTGCCACAAACTTAGGGAAAATCTCCTAATTTTCTGAGCTATTTTCATTTTGGAATCAGAGATAAGAAACTATTATTTAAAGAAAAAAAAAGAAAGAAAGAAAAGGTTGGTTTGGCTACAACTTTGTTATACTTCCAAGTGGTTCTTTAAATAAAGTCATTTTAGGAAACTTGCATTTTGAATGTAATGCCTGAAAGAAAACCAGACATAATCCTTGACACATGCCCTTTCCTTCACTACCAAATATAAACAAATGTAACCAACCACAGGGTTTTGGCTATGCAACATCCTTTATTATCATTTAGATTTAACAACTTCTTTCTATCTTCACAGCTGTATCATTATTTTAGGCCATTATCCATTCTCTCCCTGATTTCTGCAAAGCTTCTCAGTGGGTCCCAATGACCCCTGCCTTGCCCCATGTCAATTCATCTCCATAATACATCAAGATCTTTCTAAAATGTAAGCTTGATCATGTCAATTCCCTTCTTAAAATCCATGATATCCTGCTACACTCCAATTTACAAATTCCCTGTTATCTTGCCAAAGTTATATCACATGGAAAGTGACAGCACAGCCATAAAAAAAACTACGTAACAACCTTGCTTCAATCATCACTGAGCCACTCACTCTCTCTCCCTGAGATGTTGCTTTTCTCCGAACCTCCTCCAACTCTCCTCATCTCTCTAAAGAACGAAAACATTCTTCAGCAGTCAACCTAAACTATATTTTTACTGAGGAAAACTCTTCTTCACAAATGAAGTAATGAACTCTTTCTCATGTGTTCACATCACAAAGTTCCCACACTTTATTATAAATACCTATTTACTTTCCCAATGACAACCACTAAAATGAAAACTCCTTGAGAACATGGACATGGACTGCATCTTTCTAATTTTTATACCCCAGCATCCAATACGGTGTCTGAATCAGAGTATGTATTCAACTAATAAGAGTCTAACATGTAACCATCACTAAGACAAGCTTGGATGGAGAGTCAGTAGCAACCATCTCAGGTTTCTGAGCGGTCCTACCCAGCCCCATACCACTCAAAGAATCAAGGCAACTACCAAAGTGAGCAGCGATTTGGAAGAACAGTATTGTGAGTTGGGTGCATGTGTGTGGTAGATGGTTGCTTTGCTTTGTTTTGGTTTGTGTTGTTTTTGGAATAGTAGGATAACACAATGGAAAAAGTGGTTGACTGTGTCCAGAGTAGAACAATTAACCTGGAGAAGCACAAGCCAGAGCATAGACTTTCACCCCTCTTCTTAGATTAAAATTACTAGCCAAGGCAGCTGAATGTTGCAAAGAAATAAAAGAGAAACACATGAGGAAAATATTAAGACCTCTGAGGTGTGCAGGCACAAGAACAGAAAAACAACAAAGAAAGCAGTCTCATCCAGAGAACACAGAATAGATTGAACAAGAATATAATGTAAGTATAATAACATATTTAAAGATAAGGGAAGATTTTTAGATATTAAATATGAAAAAAGTTATGAAAAAGAATCAATATGATCATGAGTATTAGAAATACAATAGTTTGAAGTAAAGAATTCAGAGCATGAATTGAAAGCACAACAGCTACAGACCGAGAATGAATTAGTAAGCTGGAACACTGGGTAGAACAACTCTCCCAGAAGGCACAGGAAAGGGACGAAAAGACAGAATAAACAAGAGATAAAATTAAGAACAGGAGTAGAATTGTAAATACCTATATAATAGGAATCATAGAAAGAAAGCAAAGACAAAATAAAAGAAGAAATATTTGAATAAATAATGGCCAAAATTTCCTAGATATAGAAATACTCAAATCTTAGATTGCAAGGGTACATAGAGCACTGAACTGTATAGTTAAAGGAAAATCCACAGCAAAGCATAATATAAAGGTCATTAAGAGTATTACAGATGAGGAGAAAAGGCAAAGTTTCTAGAAAGAAAAAGCACAATCCTCCATAAAGGAAGAATAACACTGACACCAGACTTTGCGACACTATGCTAAACAATGGAGTATTAACTTCCAAGAGAAAGTGTTTTTAAGAAAAAAGACTGTGACCCTAGAATTTATATACAGCAAATAAACTAGTATTTAAAGGAAAAATAAAGAAAATTTTAAACTACAAGGTCTCAGGATATTCACCATACAAAGACATTATTTGAAAAAAGTTCTGAGGAATGTAATGCAGTAAGAAGAGAAATAAATCCAGGAAGAAGTAACAACATAAAGCAAGTAAAGGCTGGCATAGAGCATAGTAATTATTGTAGTCTAAGTAATCAGTGACTTAAAAGAAAACTAAAGAAAGGTCACTCATAACAATCCAGAATTAAAATGCCAGTGAAGATTCTTAGTTTGGGTAACAAACAAATCCAGCAATGTGTGATTCACAAGAGACTCATAAAACAAAAGGATTCAAAAAGGTTTTCAAAAAAGAGATAGTAAAAGATAAAGCCAGGCAAACATGAACCAAAATAAAGCTGAGGTGGTGACTTTAATGACAAAATATATTTAAGCCACTGTCCCTCCAAGATGTATATACATATTTTGATAGGTATATATTTTTATGTATATAAACATAAAGGAAAGCCATTCTATTGTAGTAAAAGATAACAGGTCAAGAAATTTTCACTTGTATCTAGAAGGTTTGCAAATTTGTACAGCTTAATATGTATCATAAATTGGGGACATCAAAGTTTCAAGTTTTCATGAAAATCAGTTTTGTTTAGTCTTACTTTGGGTAGAAAGACAAGGAAGGGTGGCCATCTCAAAACAACACAGATAAAGCATCATGAGTACATAAATACTACATGGGATAGCATGACGTGTATAGTCCTGGTTCTAGAAAC